GGAAACAGACAAAGCCACAATCACAGAGACTTTTATATCCATGTCTCAATAATTGCTAGAATAAGTAGGCATAAAATCAGCAAGAATATAGAATACTTGAATAGCATTACCAGCCAACCTGACTTAATCTACCATAACTGACATAATTGAACACTCCACCCAACAGCAAATACGTATTCTTTTCTAGTGACACAGAATATTTACAAAGATAGACCACATTCTATAGCCATAAAATAAATCTCAATAAATTTAAAAACATTCAAGATTTATAAAGTATATTCTCTTATCAGTGGAATTAAATTAGGTAATTGCAAAATCCCCAAATATTTGAACAGTAAATAACACATCTAAAATATCCAAGGATCAAAGAAGAAATCAAAAGAGAAATTATAAAGTAATTTGAACTGAATAGGAATGAAATAAAGCATATAAAAATTGCCAAAAGGCTAGTAAAGTAGTGCTTAGAAAGAAATTTAGAGAACAAGATGCCTATATTTAAAAAGATACACATAAAATCAATAACTTTAGCCTCCACTTTAAGAAACTAGTAAAAGAAAATAAATAAGCCCAAAGTAGGCAGAGGAAAATAAATAATATAGATATTTTAACATTTATTTATTTTTGAGACAGAATCTCACTCTGTCACCTGGGTAGAGTGCAGTGACATTACCGTAGCTCACAGCAACCTCAAACACCTGGGCTCAAACAATCCTCTTGCCTCAGCCTCCCAGGTAGCTGCGAATACACATGTGCGCCATGATGCGGCTAATTTTTCTATTTTTAGAAGAGATGTGGTCTCACTCTTGCTCAGGTTGGTCTTAAATTCCTGACCTCAAGCAATCCTCCCACTTTAGCCTCCCACAATGATAGGATTACAGGCATGAGCCACCATGCTCAGCCAATTTTATTAAAAGAGGAAAAAAAACTGTACAGGAAAATCTATATGAGCAAAAGTTATTAATAGTTCTTTAAGATCAATAAAATTAATAAACCTCTAGCCAGACTAATTAAAAAAAAAGATGCAAACCATCAATATCAGGAATGAGAGAGGTGACATTATCAAAAATTCTAGATCCATTAAAAGGATAATGAAAGAATATTATAAACAACTTTATAACAATACATTCAACAACTCAGATAAAATAAACAAATGTCTTGAAAGACATAAATTGCCAGTAATCACTCAAGGAGAAAAAGATAACCTGAATATATATACACACATGAAGGAACTTGAATTTGTAGTTAAAAACCTTCCCAAAAAAATATCCAGGCCTTTAAATGCCCTAGAAAACATTTAAGGAAAGAGTAATAGCAATTCTATACAAACTCTTCCAAAAAATTGAAGATAAGGAAATATTAATACTGCTGTACTCATCCTATGAAGAAAAAAAGATATTACAAGAAAGGAAACTGCACAACATCCCTAATGTGCATAGATATAAAAATTCTATACAAAGTATTAGCAAGAAGCAGCTTAGCTGAATATTTGGTGACTAGAGGGGCAGACTCTGGTGGTTATTTGTGTTCTTCACCGAATAAGACACGTTCTGTCCCATTCTGAGCACTAGCAGGGTGGCCCATCCTGGCCCCTTGCAACTGGACAGGACCTGTCTGTGTCACTTGATGGCAGAGTGAACCTGCCCTGTCCTCTGCCTTGGCAACCAGCAGCTCATGGCTTTGAGAACGGATGATGATCAGGGCCCCTGCCAGCCCACAGGGGGCACAAAGCCAACATGAGGAAGAAAACATGGTTTTATAAGTCATTGAGATCTTAGGGTTACTTTTTCAATGCAGCAGGACCAAGTCTGCTCTGTACACTGCCATAGACCTGCTAACCCCACATCTCTGGGCTAGAGCTTGGGCATCTAGTTTTACCAAGTACCCCAAACTTGAGACCCCAGTGCCCAACAGTGGCCCAGAGCAGTCACCTGACTCCACACAGTCCGTTCTGGGTTGATTCATAGCCTCTATTGGCATTGCAGTAAGGTTCCAGCATCACCAGGCTTGTCCCTCCCTCCCTACTTCCCTCTAAGCTTTTCTCTGTTCCTTCTCAGTAACGGTGAGGAATAGAGTATATGGATTTATTTATTTTCTGTCCTTCTAAATCTGTTTATCCCAAATTCATCTTCAGATAAGACTCTCCAGGAGAGCTAACAACACAGAATTCCTGGGGGCAGGTCTGGTTATGTGCATACATGACAACTGTGCCAGGTCATTCTGCTCACCAGGAGGCTGGGGAGGGGCTGGCATAACTGCACAGGGAAACTGTTAAGCTCCCCACTGAGGCACAGCTGCGCACACACAGCCTGAAGGGACAGATTGAGATCCACCACGGCCACGTTCTCACGCGCTCCACTGCTTCCATCCTTCCCACTAGAAAGCCAAGCCCATGTGTTAGTTTATCTTACTTCACATACACTACTTGATTATAAAGCATTCTGGACACCTCTAACTGGTTGTTATGGATTGAATTGTGCCCCTCCAAAAAAATTCCTATGTTGTAGCCCTAACCCCCAATGTTTCACAATGGGACTAGAATTGGAGATGGGGTCTTTACAAAGGTGATTAATTAAAATGAGGCCCTTGGGGGGGCCCTCATCCAATATGACTGGTATCCTTATAAAAAAGGGAAATTTAAGGCTGAGCATGATGGTTCACACCTGTAGTCCTAGCTACTAGGGAGGTTGAGGCAGGAGGATCACTTGAACCCAGGAGTTTGAGGTGGCAGTGAGCTCTGATGACGCCAATGTACTCTAGCCCAGGCAACAGAGGGAAACTCTGCTCAAAAAAAAGGTGGGTGGGCGGGTGGGGGAATGTAGACACAGACACACAGACGGGAGAATCCATGTGAACACAAATACAGCCATCTGCAAGCCAAGGAGAGCAGCCTGTGCAGATCCTTCCCTCAGAGCCCTAAGAAGGAACCAACCCTGCTCACACCTCAAGCTCAGAATTCCGGCCTCCAGAACTGTGAGGAAATCAATTTCTGTTGTTTAAGCCCCCCAGTTTGTGGTACTGTGTTACAGCAGCCCTAGCAAACTAATATACTGGCCAATGATAAAAATGGATCAAGCCATCTTATTACCAGAAGTATCTACTATTCTTTAAAAAAGCAAATATTGATTAAATTTTTCTTCAAACAGAGAAGGAATGAGACCACTTGTAATTGTCCCCTCTATTATAAAATAGCAAGAGGGCAGCAGGATCTGGGATTCTTATTTTTTCAAGAAAGACACAATCCCTGCTCAGTAGACCACCAGACATGAGGGATTATCAATGCTTCCTCCACATGAATTCACCTGTGCTACCTGGCTGGCCCTGTCCCAGCAGGAAGCTTTCAGGGCCCTGCTGCCAGGGCTGTTCCATTCAGTCCCCAGCCCCCCTTCCTGCCAGCCACCCACAATGGCTGCTTGGTGGGGCAATGCCAGTGCCCACTCGCTCCCCTGGGAACTGCTGCGAACAGGAAGCCTGGTGCTTGTCCTGCACTTGCGGCACCTTCACTGGGGGCTTGGCCCAGGGGCAAGCCAGGAATGTCTTGTTGCTTGATTGTGCTTAAAGCACCATTTCTATATCCATAAGGTCACTCCAATTTTTGTGCATCTGGTCATTAAAATACTGCCTACGATAGTTAATAGCAGTTTCTGATTATCATTTCATTTCCCTGGTTAAGTGACTAGATTTTCTTTAGAATAAGCTTGTTTTAACAGATGAGGGACGCAATATAATGGTTTCCTATTGAGAACAAAAATACTCAAATTCTGAATCAGATAAAAGTCACACATGAAAGGAAGGCAGGTGCCTTGGACAGTCACCATCTGAGGAAATCGAATGCCCGCGAGACCGTGCCCAGACCTCCAGCTGTTCACATGGAAAGGGCGTCTGGTTATCTTATTAAGGACAAAGAAACTGAGGTCTTATAAAATGCAGACCAGGAGAACAATACAGGGTGAGAGACAAATGCACAAATCTAAGAGCTCTGAGGACATGAGCAAACCAGGTCTCCAAAATCCCCAAAGAAGAGAAGTGCCTTCATCAGCCGGCCTGATGCCTCTGTTACCTAGGCAACCTGCACAGCATCCACATTCTGGACCTCACCACAGAGAGGCTGGCTGTTTCCCAAATTATTTTTTGTTCCTAATATATTCGAATCAGTAACATTTTCAGTAAAACATTTATTAAAATTTTTAAGGGAGGAAAACACAAAGCACTAAGATGCCACAGTCCCGGCCGGGTGCGGTGGCTCACGCCTGTAATCCTAGCTCTATGGGAGGCCGAGGTGGATGGATTGTTTGAGCTCAGGAGTTCGAGACCAGCTTGAGCAAGAGCAAGACCCCGTCTCTACTATAAATAGAAAGGAATTAATTGGCCAACTAATATATATAGAAAAAAATTAGCCAGGCATGGTGGTGCATGCCTGTAGTCCCAGCTACTCGGGAGGCTGAGGCAGGAGGACCACTTGAGCCCAGGAGTTTGAGGTTGCTGTGAGCTAGGCTGACGCCACGGCACTCACTCTAGCGTGGGCAACAAAGCGAGACTCTATCTCAAGAAAAAAAAAAAAAGATGCCACAGTCCCCTGTCCAAGTAGCAGGTGCCTCATAGACATGGCACACGGTCCCCTGCGCTGGATCACGCTGCCACACCTGCAATCACACTTAACACTCGAACTAGGATTTACTATTGAGCACCAACTCCAGATGCATACATGTGGCTTTAGAATGCCATGACATGTGAGTTGTATGTGGCAGCCATTACTTCCAGCATTTTACCACATTACACTTCACAGAAAACTACAGAGGCATAGCTCACGAATTTTAAAGCCCTATGAAGACACACCATGTACAGGAGGAAGACGTGGACAGTCACTGACTGAGCATGCAGCGTCCCAATGACACATACTTTTCTACATGTGATAACACCTGCCACCTGTTTGTAAGAACTTCCTCTGAGAAAAAATATATGGTAATGAAATCTAGGCTATATGAGGAGGTGCCTGCACTCACCAACAATGTCACTGGGCTCCTTGTTATAGAGTTTTCTGTTCCAGTAAAGGAGTCTGAGGAGAGGAAAGGAGACCAAGAGGACAAGGCCAATCCCCAGGAACATGTGTGCCGTGAATCCTGCAAAATCCAGGCCCTGGAAGAAGAAAAGGGGAAACAGAATGAGACAGACCTCTCCTCTGCACTGGCGGCAGTTCCCCAGTCAGGATCCGGGGCAGGCCAGCCCAGCAGGGGAGGGGCACGTCAGGGCTTATGGGGACCTCAGCTGGAGGTCCTGGAGCCCAGCATGACATACAAGGAAGAACATGGGCTTCATGACGACCACCATGATTCTAAAAACGTTTAAGGCTTATTTCATGTTAAACCACCAATTCTCACAAGAATGACAAAATGTGTTAGGAGGAAACAAAAACAGACTATCACATCTGATTCCAGCCTTGGCTGGGTCTGCCCTCACCACTGGACTGACGTGTTCCTCCAGGATCAGGTGACAAAAGACTGAGGGGTCAAAACACTAAACTATGTGACACTATCTACCTATTTAAAGGTAAATTGGGTTTTTTAAACACATCAGTCCCTGACCTCCTAAAAATGCATCTTCACAACTGGAGAGGACACTCCTGCACAAGGCACAGAAGCTGTGGCCATCACAGCTGTGGCCCCCAGAGTGTCAGGACCAGCCACAGGGGCCCAGGCAGGGGCCCACTCCTTCCCCACATGCGTCCTGTGCCTGCTGTGGTGCCATGTGCCAAGGTCACCTGCTGAGGGTGTCTTTATTGTTGAGTCAAATCCTCACGAAGTTAATCTGTCTGGGAATAAGTCAGCAGCATCATTAGTTGGTTTGGTTCTTTCATTTACTTTGTGCTTTTATACCTTCAGCAAATATATGTGGGCACCTCCTGAGCTCCCAGCAGGACAGATGAGGCCTCCCTCCTCATGAAACTGGCCATCTGGTGAGAACTCAAGGTCTTTTCTGCAGTGTCCATAAAACACTGTTGCCACAAAGGGGGGTCAGAGGCACAGTGATAATGCACAACCATTGGGGGCCCAGGGTGGAAGGGACCACAGACATGAGGTGGTAATGATCTCACAGCACAAGCAGTAGTCCAGTTCTGCCTCGGGAACTTCTTACACAAGTAGAGGGGCAGCAAGTAACACAAAACATACAGAGGACCCCGAGAGGGTTGGAAGGAGTGATTTAAACTATATTAATTGTTGCCTACTAAAATTGTTTTATTTGTGCCTCTTCTATAACAGATCTAAAACCACTTACAACATTGCTAAAGACACAGCACAACAAGAAGCTACTATCAACAGTCAAAGTTTAGGGCTTGCCAATGTACAATAATCTGAAATTCTTAATCCCTTGCAGTTATCTCCACATTCAATGGTTGTCCTACAAAACAGCCTTTTAAACAACAGATGGAGCTATGTAAGCTCATTCATAAACAGATGGCAAAGAAACCTACAGTGAGGTGGAGCTAATGAAATGCTTTGAATAGCCATATATTAGAATTCACCACTTTTCTGCTAGTTCTTCAATAAGGGTATTACCTTGAACTTTGTGTTTATCTATAGAATTCATACCCCAGATATGTGTCAGAAAAAGGTCCACAATACTTTTAGAGTCTTATGAAAATGTTTTAATTTCCTCTAAAATCAGAAAAAAAAAACCAACTTTGGGGTCAAAGAAAATGGTTTAAAAATGTAATATTAATATATTTGTCTATATACCAACTGGGTCATGAAATGTAATTGTCAATATTTCTTAAAGGAAATGGCCCACAAAGGCAGAAGTATCTGTATCCTGAGGAATTCTGAGTCTCATTGGAACATACAGTTTTGCTCCATTAGAAATTGTAAGGCAATTTAAGAAGAAAGTGATGAGCAGATTTAAAAAAAAAAGTACTAAGGAGGTTCTAAATGCATCCACAGTAAAACAACACAGCACTGAGGGGAAGAATCTGGTTGCTACTAGAGTTGTAACAGGTGGATTTATTAAATAAGAACAGTGTAGACCGGAAAAATCCGAAGTGATTTTAAGAAAACATACAGGCAGATGCAGTGTACAGTAGGATGCAAATGTTTTCATTAAGCTTATTAGGCTTGTGTATTTGGGCCCCCCTGCTGCTTTTACATGCCTCTATAATTTCCTAGACTCTTCTCTTTAATGTTCTCAGTAATAAAACCACCCACCATCCCACTTGCATCAAAACAGTGCTTAAAAGCAGCCTTTTCTTCTTGTAGGGAGCTGGTTCTATTTTGACCCTCTAAGGCTTTTTTTTTTTTTTTTTTTTTTTTTTGTGTGTGTGTGTGTGTGTGTTGTGTGAGACAGGGTCTTGCTCTGTCACCCAGGGTGGAGTACAGTGGCATGATCATTGCTCACTGCAGCCTCTAACTCTTATTTTGTATTGTTTTGGTTTGGGGACTCTGCCACTGTCTTCTTAATTTTCCACAATGTCCTCATTTGACTGACAGATTAAGTGACCAAATGTTAAGGCATGTAAAACAACCAAAAGAGGGCCTCCCCATCAGATGGAAGGTTCCTAGCTTCATAAACGACATATATTTATGGGGATGTAGCTGAGGACTCCTGGCCCACCAATATCATTTTCTAGGAACAACACTTTCAGCCTATCTCCGTGGCAAGTCAAAATAGTCCATTAGGTTGTCTAAGGGGATGGTTCTAGCCAAAATGGTTTCTTGAATTCTTCTAATGAAAAACTCAAATTCTTATGAAGTGTTTAGCTGAATCTATTGACTGTTTTAGTAAAATATACATGGCATGATTTGAAAATAGACTCCTGTATAGACGTCCAGTAAGGAGAGGACCTCAGCACTGCAGGAATGGGTGTGATGTCAGGCAGGAAGGAGGGGTGTGGATTTTACCAGTGGGCCACAACCTTTCTGCCACCAGGGACCATTTTCATGTAAGACAATTTTCAATGGACAGGGGAGGGGATGATTTCAGGATGATTCAAGTGCATTGCATTTATTATGCACTTAATTTCTATTACTACATTGTATTATTAATGAAATATACAATTCACCACAGGTTGTGGACCCCTGGGTTATACTGTAAAAGGGGCCATCAAGCATGCCATGGAGGGGTCCTGGCACATATGGATTTGAGGGAGTAAAAGCTCTGGCAGAGACACAGAAGTGGGAGATCCAGCATGCAGGACTCGAGCAGTCATGGCGGGAGGAGCTCTGCTAGAGAAGCCACCCAAGAGGAAAAGGGGTCGAAAATAAAGAAGCCTGAGGCTACCAATATTGAATAATGGGCAGAAGTAGAAAACCTACAAAGAGACTAAGATTGGTTTTTAGAGAGGCAGAACGGGAACCAGAAGCCAGTGCAACTGTCAAACTTGTCAGCCAGGGGAATGGAGAAAAACGTGGCAAACAAGTAGCCAAACTATGTCCAACATGCACAGCATGTGCAGTAATGGCAGGTGGAAAGAACTTTCCTCACAACTTCCTGTAATTTCTGCTAATCCTCATAGAATGTGGATAATTTTTCAGATGACTTTTTACTGTTCCAAACTCTAGTACTGATTTATTACTCCTGAGTTACATATTAATTTTCTTTGTGAATATTTTAAAGATTTTCAGACTTAAATTTTGTTGTTTCTTCCCATTTGAGTTCATTGACAAACAACCAAAGAATGTGTAATAAATGTTGCCCATCATGTGATGCAAATGATGACTATGCTGTCATTATTGATAATGCATTTTATACTTTATAAGTAATATCTGCACAAGACACTGCCCTGGAACTATGAATTCATTTTTGCCTCCATATGGAGAAGTATCCCCTTATCTCCAATCTACTATAAAATGAATTAAAAGACACTTTTGATTATCCACAGAAGCCATTCGTAAGATACCTTTTCTGGAAGATACAGTTTAACCCAAAAATTCAGGGAAAGTCATTAGTAGAAGTAAGGAATGCCATCCTCAGTAAAGTAAGTTTGGAGCTAAGGCCATGTCCCCAGAGGATGTCACTTTGGAAACAAGCTGCATGATGAGTCTTAGCTGAGCCTCTGCCAACCAGAGATGACACTCACCTCCAGGGCTCTCTGAGTATTTTTGCAAAAACCTCACCTTTCTCTTCTACCATCACATTTATCTGGATATCTCATAACAGCATCTCAGTATGCCATGTAGGATTGTGGGAATCGTCTAACAGAGCCTGCTCTCGGACTCCAGCTTCTACATGGCTTGATAGAGACCAGGCCTGTCTTGGATCACATCCCACTTCAGTTCAGAGCACTCAGAACGAGGACTGCAAGGGCAGGCTTAAAATGATGCAGAGTTAACTCAATTTGTATCCAAGAAAGACACCATGCCTATACTTTTACATTAATACTAACATGGTGCCAGTCAGGGCAGTTAAGCTGTTGCAACATTCATTAAATGTTGCCTATAAAAGAAGAGAAAATAACAGAATTTGAAAGCCAAGTTCTAAAACCAGTTTAATGAAATACAATAGCCACACCCTCACTTGAACTATTTCTTTACCTATTCTACTGCAACTATTTTCCATTAGAAATTTAAAGTTTTAGGTTTTACATTTACATCTATGATTCAGTTTGAGTCCATTTTGGATATAGTGGGGTGTGGGCTATCCATTGTTTTGAGGAGCATTTGTGGAAAATACTATCCTTTCCCAGTGAATTGACTTTGCACCTTTGTCAAAAATCAGTTGTTTATGTCTGTGAGGTTCTACATCTGCACTCCCTGCTTTGTTCCATTTATCTATTTGTCTATCTTGATGCAATACACACTGCCTTGGTTATGTTAGCTTTATAATAAATCTCAGTATCTGGTCATCATACCTCTTCCAGTTTGTTTGGTGTTTGGCCATTCTGGACACTTTGAATTCTATATAAAATTTAGAATCAGCTTATCAATTTCTACCCAAAAAAAACCCTATACTGTTTTCATGGGGATTGCAGAATTTATAAATTTTTAGAGGATTGGTATCTTAATAATATTGCATCTTCTGACCCATCAACATGGCATATCTCTCAATTTATTGGGATCTTCTTTAATTACTCTCTGCAATATTTTATAGCTTCAGTATGTTGGTCAGATTTACCAAAAGTATTTTATATGTTGATGCTATTCTAAATG